ATCTCGAGCTCTGAATGAGATTTTAAATACTTGTTTTTTTAATGTTGCTTAGCGGGTCGTATGTGTTTTTCTGGAATACAAGTGGATCGTAAATTTTACGAGGGTATGCTTGCACTAATTCATGAAGTTTGATTCAGATATATTGCCATGAAAATCTTTGTTCTTTCTGACAATTAGCAAGTGGCTAGTTACAAGTTAACAACGGATAATTGTGTGGCATCTCTGCATGTATGATCAGGGTAGTGTTGTTGTGGAATACAGACTATAAACTGAAAATTTCCCCGTATGGCATTTGACCCTACTCTCTTGTAGCTTTTTAGAACAAAAACTACATTGATGTAGCAGATCCATTATTTGATCTCTGAGCGTGTGTAACATTTGACTATTGTTGTACTCCCTCCGTCCGAAAAAGCTTGTCCCAAGCTTGTTCCTCAAATGGATGTATCTAGCACTAACTTGATGCTAGATACATTCATTTGGGGGACAAGCTTTTCCGGACGGAGGGAGTACCAGCCATTTGTCTTGTTAGTCCATTTGATATTTTGGTGCTTAAAGTGGCAAAGCAAATATATTATCTTCTTTTGCAGAAAAAGAACATTCTGATGCTTAATTATCTTGATACTGATCGCTTCTCTGTCTCCTCTAAAACAGGAATGCCATATGAAGGACTATATCAAGAAGCTTTTGAATGGCCAGTGTAATTTAGGGCCTCGTCAAGGAATAGCAGAGAGCTGCATTGCCTGATTAGCAGCAGTTGTAACTGCGTCCACTGTAACCTGCACGGGATTAATTAGGGTGCTATGCAACAAAAGCAGGTCCTATCCTTTTGTATGCATGTTTAGTAGTTTGATTCGGATATATTGCGGCCAGTGTAACCGCGCATGATAGATATTAGTCCTATCCTTTGTATGCATGTTTAGTAGTTATCTCACCTGATCCGCTTGGGTCCTGGCCTTGCCATTGCTCCACTTGTTACGGTATTTGTGGAATCTGTCCTGTTGATCTGTTCCAAGTTAGGGATGTGTTTGTAGCTCTAATGCAACAGTAAAACTGAAACGTGGATTTGTGAACCATACTTTGCAGGAGTACAACAAGCAGGGTAAGAGAATGGTTTGTTAATGAATGATGAACAAGCTCAGGTAAATGCATCTTATATTCCAGGGGTAAGAGAGTTATGCGTTGATGAACTGGAGTGGTGAATAAATTCAGTGATAGGTACTCCCTCCGTCCCAAAATATAAGAACGTTTTTGACACTAGTGTAGTGTTAAAAACGTTCTTATATTTTGGGACAGAGGGAGTAACATATATGCATGCAGTGGTTAGTTAGACTGAACCAAGGGAATTGCAAACGGGATTCACTGTCCCAGTCAGTATCTGTTAAAGCAAGGGTGACAGTGCTTGATTACCAGAGCTGACTGCAGCAAACAGAAACGTGAAAAGATGTATGGCACTTTGTACAAGTAGATAGACACTCGTGAATCTTGAATTACAAACACATTACATGATCTCAAGGAGTTTGTGTCCCAAGGAGTTTCAACTTTGCGTATGGCTCCACAAGGAAGACAATTGCCTGCTGGTGGATACCATATATTTGCATGAGATGCGTGCTATTTCAGGGAAGACAGATCGTTCGTATGTGCATATAAGGCAGGTGGGAGACAATGCTCAGTTTGTACTTTTACAGATTTCTCAATACATATTCTACTTGGATATCAAGTGCAGAACATTGCGTAAAGTGTATGAGATCACAGTCGATGAACAATGTTATGGTGCCATCCATCCTTTTATGATGATCTGGCCTCCCATATTCCCTGACCTGAGCGACGATCATGAAAGGTTTGCCGAGGATTTGTCTAGTGCACTTGTTGGGGCTACAAAATTTTGCACTATGCATCGTGTTTGCTATAGTTTCTTATTTTGTTGTATAACTATTTTCTGAGCTATCACCTCAGAACTACAAATTGGGCAGTCAAAAGTATAAAACATCATGTATATGAGGCAAGGGCTGAAAGACGCCTAGCTCCGTTATCATGTTGACAAATGTATTTATGTAGTCCTGAAATATTATCACAAATCCTGAAATCCATCAAGCTTGGGATTCTAGCCTCCTATGTTTCTTAAATGTAGTCATGGTGTAATTTTCTGCTGCCTGCCTTTAAACTGTCAGCCCCTTAGATTTTCAATACTTGGTTTTTTCTTCCTGAATGTTGCTTAGGGCATGCTTGAGCTTCTGCATGATTTTTGTTTGACTGTGATTTTTTTTCCTTTTGTGTGACAGTTGACAAGTGGCTAGTAGTACAAGCTAAGATCGGGCAATTTGTGTTTGTGTGGTGTTTTTCCTTGTATGGTCAGAGTTTTTGTTGTACTGGAATACAAACTATAAATTGAAAATTTTGCCCGTATTTTGTTTTACCCTTGTAGCTTATCGGAAATTCAGAATAAAAATAATATATAGATGTAGCAGATCCACTATTTAATTTCTAAACGCTTATAACACTTGGCTATCGCTGTACTAGCCATTTGTATTTTGGTGCTTAAAGTAGCAGGAAAAAATTCAGCAAAAACAAATATGCTCCCTCTGTCCCATATTATAAGATGGTTTTTTTGGAAGCTAACATAACTCCCCAAAACGTCTTATATTGCGGGACGGAGGGAGTACTTTGTTGCTTAATTATCTCAATTCTGATGCTTCCTCTGCAACAGGAATGCCATATGAAGAACAAGTATGTCAGGGCCCGTTATCTGAAGCCATCTTCTTCCCTGAAGTTCTTTCTGAAGATCACTGAAGAATTGGACAGTTTTACTGCTCACGCATAGCTCACTTATCTCTTCGCTTCGGCTGACGACTGAGCATCGTCCATCTTGGATTCAAGGGTCTACAATCTTCTGTCGTCTATCTCCTTAGGTTGTTCCTGATGCAGGCTATATAAATGTGTAAGCCGAATAGCAGGGATATCTTATCTCTTATATATGTCTGTGTTGAACCCTAGCCGCTGCCATGTTCTGGCCGGCATAACTTTCTCCTGTAATCTCTTAATTCGAGTAAAGCATTCCTCCGATGGTAGCAAATCGTTGTGTCATGCTGAGTTTCCCCTGTGTGCTCGTGCTTCATCTCTGAATCTCTCTCTATTCCCTGAATCCCATAGTCAGGGTCTGTCACTCTCTCCTCCTCTGTTTCCTCTGTTTGCCACTACTAGACGCAAATATTTAAATCAAAATCAACCGTAAACCGTCCAAAACATTTATCTAAAAGCTCACGAAATTGAAGTACTACGAGTTCCGTAGACAAGACAAGTTTGTTGCCTCCGTCTGCATATATGAGGCTTAAAGCTTCTACAAAAAAGAAATGTTGAATTTAGTTGTACCTTCAGTCCTTCAATATTTATTGTTTTGAGAAAAAAAAAACCAAAGCTTGTTAAATAGTGCCTCCAAAGCAAACCCCGTTGGTCTTAAATGTGCTCCTGATGCTGCATGCTTTCAAATTATGCATTTGTGCTCGTGTCATGCGCTAGTGGAAGTAATGGTGCTTCTGATAGTTGATGTAGTACCCTTTTTCAGAGGATTGTGTATATATATTGTTGGGACTTTTTGTTCTTCATTATAATTTGGTCTGATACCTCAAAATTTCAAACCAGCGTCGCTGCTACATCTGCAAGGACAGAATGAAAGTGGGAACGTGGAATGCAAGAAATTATAGTCAGAGAATACACACTCGAATACCATGTCTTATCATCAATCACAGTGCCAAGATAAATAGGGCTGACAGGTGTGCCCGCAAGATGTGCTTGGCCAGCTGAAAAGAAGGTCGGGAAAACTGTGACAACATATTAATACAACTGTGACCAAGCAACTTCTTCTACACAATAATGTATGCATGTATATGGTGTATAATAAACAGTGTTCTTACTCAGGACAGGGGTCAGAGACATCGGATCTCCTCAATCTGCTCCGCGACATACGGCATTGTAGGCCTCAAGTTGGGATCTGAATCGCAGCAGATTACGGCGAGCTCCATGAGTCGCATCATCCTTGTCTTCCTCTCGCCCTTGTCCTCATGATCTAGAAGTTCCATATCCAACACCTCGTACACCATAGTCCGGTTTTGTATCAACTGCAGCAAATCCACTCCCTCCTTAAACTGTGTTTTCTTTACAGGAGCCTTACGGGTGAGAAGCTCCAGCAGTAAAATGCCAAAGCTGTACACGTCTGCTTTCTGGGTGACCCACATATCATCGTCGGCAACCTCAGGCGAGGCGCTTGGTAGCCGGAGGCGTTGGGGAAAAGGCCTAGCGTTCTCAGGCCGTTCTCTGACACACATGCGCCGTTGGTACCAGTGAGCAGGATGTTAGAAGACCTTATGTTGCCATGGCAGCTTGATGCTCCGATTGAGTGGATGAACGCCACACCACGCGCCGCAGGCCGCAGCAACAGAGATGGATAACCGTTGCTCCCAATGCAGCGTAGCTCGGGCACAGACTAGGTCCCCTGGATCGACCGACGCAGCATGAATCAGTGATGCATCAACACATTACATCTTGTAAATAAAGGAAGCAATGCACATCATATATTACCGTGGAGCGCTGTTGCTAGGCTACCCCTGGAGAAGTGATTGTACACAAGCAGCTTCTCAACATTGCTGTAGTAATAAAACTGCAGTGGCGCAATGTGTTCGTTCTGGATGGCTCCAATGACCACCACTCCCACCAGTATCCTCATCAACAGCTTGGCTCCACTCTCAAGTGTCGCTTTGTATGTTGTTCTGGCTGTACTATGGCCCAGAACTTCAGTCGATGCCCGAAACAGGTCATCCAGCACGAACAATGGACATGCCACTGCCGACCCAGCGATAAAAGTTCCCACATTTCGGGTGCTGCTACTGCTTTCTAGTGATGCTGTAGTTTCATCTGGAGCTACAATTCCAACGTTTACTAGTTTGGTTATCTTTCCCCAAGAAAACGGAGCTCGCCTTTCTGTTTCTTGTCCCCGATTTAGAGCTTTTCTAAGTCTGCATCTCAGGACGTTTGTCGTGTTCCAACCTCAAGCATTTAGCTGCCAACTGTGCAATCTGTTCAATAGTCTTCATGTTGCTTGGGATTGCAATTTCAGCATCAAACATCTCTCTCACCCTCCTGGCCCCTTTTGCAAGAACCTTAGTAAAATTTTCAACCAAGCCGATCTCCCCGTCATAATTTCTTGCCTTTCTTCTTGTTACCAGTTCTAGGAGCACAACTCCAAAACTCTCAACATCACTCTTCGCCGTGAGGCGACCATTCAGAGCAAACAAAGGGTCCATGTAACCTATACTCCCCATCACATTTAGGGTGTATAGAGTTGTTAAACAGCGGAGAACGTCGTACCTCTCTCGAGGCGACGGTTGCGTGTTAATATAGGCAGGGGCATATCCCTGATAAGCATACAAGTTGTTGAGATTACATCTTGAGGTACAAGGAAAATAGAGATAAGATATGCATGAAAAGATTACAACTCAACTAACCTAAACCGAATCTATCTCAATCTGAACCGGTGCGTGTATGCCCCTTGAACCTGAATATTGCATGGTTTAACACCCTCCCATAATCACAGCTTGGACAAGTTGAGATTACGCTTAAACTCTTCAAAACTTTTGGTAGGTAAGGCTTTAGTGAAGCCATCCACAACTTGATCTTGAGATCGAATAAACCGAATGTCCAGCTTTTTCTCTGCAACTCTTTCTCTGACAAAATGAAAATCTATTTCTATGTGTTTTGTTCTTGCATGAAATATTGGGTTAGCAGAAAGATAGGTGGCACCCAGATTGTTACACCATAAACATGGAACTTGCTTACTGTGTATCCCAAGCTCTTTCAGTAATGACTGAACCCAAATGATTTCTGCAGTAGCATTTGCTAGTGCCTTGTATTCTGCTTCTGTGCTGGATCTGGACACAGTAGCTTGTTTCTTAGCACACCATGAAATTAAATTTGGACCAAGGAACACTGCAAAACCTCCTGTTGAGCGTCTGTCATCTAGACATCCTGCCCAATCAAAGTCAGAAAAAGCACTGACAAGTGTTGATGGTGACTTGGTGAAGGTGAGTCCAACATTGAAAGTGTTCTTGACATATCTAAGTATGCGTTTTGCAGCTGTCAAATGTACTGTAGTGGGTGCATGAAGAAACTGGCATACTTTGTTCACAGCAAAAGAAATATCAGGCCTGGTCAGAGTTAAGTATTGCAATGCACCAACCATACTTCTGTACCTGGTGCTATCCTCTTGATTCAAGAGGTTTCCTTCAGTTAAGGATAACTTCTCAGAGCTGGATAAAGGTGTTGGAGCTGGCTTGCAACCTTGCAACCCTGCTCTTGCTACAAGATCAGTTGCATACTTCTCTTGGGACAGATGAAGCTCATCTCCATTTCTTTTTACTTCAATGCCAAGGAAGTAGTGTAAGTCTCCTAGATCCTTAAGAGCAAACTCAGAGTTCAAGTCCTTAAGCAATGCTGAAATAGCTTCATCAGATGAGCTTGTGACAATAATATCATCAACATATATGAGTACAAATATAGATGTATTTGACTTATTGAAAATAAACAATGAGGTGTCAGACTTGGAAGGAGCAAACCCAAGTCCTTGAAGCTTTGAACTCAATCGAGAATACCATGCTCTGGGAGCTTGCTTTAATCCATATAGAGCCTTGTCAAGCTTGCATATGTGAAGGGGTTTTTGTCTGTTTTCAAACCCAGGAGGTTGTTTCATGAACACTTCCTCTTCCAAAACACCATGAAGAAACGCGTTCTGTACATCTAGTTGACGTAGACTCCATCCTCTCGATACAACAATAGACAACACGAGATGAATAGTAGCAGCCTTTACGACAGGACTGAAAGTATCCTCATAGTCTAGACCGTACCTTTGCTTAAAGCCTTTTGCAACTAGTCTAGCTTTATAACGATCTATGGTGCCATCAGATTTCTTTTTAATTCTGAAGACCCATTTACAATCTATAACATTTTTACCTTTGCCTCGATGTGCTGGAACTAAGTGCCAAGTTTTATTCTTGTGAAGCGCCATGTATTCATCTTTCATAGCCTTCTGCCACTTTGGATCTCCTAGAGCTTCTGCAACAGAGGTTGGTATATCTGGTTCATGTGAGATACAAGCAAGTCCAAATTTTGCCAAAGACTTGTAGTTTTTGGGTTGAGTTACTCCCCTCTGAAGCCTAGTGCGAGGAAGGTCCGCAGAAGATCCAGCGCCAAGAGCAGCCGCCGGCTCGCTGGGCGAGGTCATGCAGGTCGGATCTTTTGTGGCCGGTTCACGTGACGCTGAAGAAGAGGGAGCCGCAGAGGATCCCGATCCTGCATGGGGCTCATGATCCGCTAATGATTGGAGCAGCGGGCCAGGAGCTGCCGCAGAATCCACATGGGAGTCGGCGCCCGAGTCCGGCTGCGATGAGCGCCGTGTGTAGCAGCGCGTGTTGGGGCCAGACGCGGGACCAGGCGCGGGGCCAGGCACGGGCGGCTGGAGAAGGGGCCGCGTGGCGCTGGCGGGTTGGCGCGAAGCGGACGCCGAGCCGCGGTTGGCGTGTGGCGCGGCGAGACTCGAGGCGGATCCGCCTGGCGCTGCGGGCGCGGATCCCGCTGGAGTCAGGATGGCAGGCTGGCGCAGGTGGGATCCCGAGGACGATACGCCCGGATCCCGAGGGAGATCTGCTCCGGTGCTGCTGCCAGTTAGTCAAGGGAGCATAAAATGATGGTGGAGGCTGATTTCTTCACCATTTTCTGCAGAATTTTTTCTGTTGCATCATAAGACTCAACACCATCATTAGTAGGAGGATTAGTCAACAATTCATCATTAGTGTCTAAAACGTCCCCATTGTCACCACCGGTGAGATGTGAAGGTAGAAGAAGAATTTCTTTTTGAAGAAGGGCTCCGGCGTTTGGGTGAAGTTGTGCAAAAGGGAAGATAGTTTCATCGAAGACAACGTCACGGGAAATATAGACACGTCCAGTGGATACATCAAGGCACTTCACACCTTTATGTTGTGGACTATAACCCAAGAATACACACTGTTTTGACCGGAACATGAGTTTGCGATTGTTGTAAGGCCTAAGATTCGGCTAGCACGCACACCCAAATACATGTAGTGATGTGTAATCTGGTTTTGTGTGAAGGAGACGTTCTACTGGAGATTCATTGTTGATGACTCTACTAGGCAACATGTTTATGAGGTGGACGGCGGTGAGGAAAGCCTCATCCCAGAATTTCAAAGGCATGGAGGCAGCAGCAAGCAGAGCCAAGCCAACTTCAACTATATGCCTGTGTTTGCGCTCGGCTGATCCATTTTGTTGGTGAGCATGGGGGCATGACACGTGGTGTGATATGCCAATTTGTTGAAAAAAGGAGTTGAGGTTGCGGTACTCCCCTCCCCAATCGGATTGGAGTGCTAAGATTTTGCAATCGAACTTTCTTTCAACTAGTGCTTGAAAGTTGTGAAAGACTTGAAAAACATCAGATTTCTTTTTGATAAGATAGATCCATGTGTACTTGCTATAATCATCGATAAAACTTACGTAATAAGTGTGTCTACCAACTGATGTAGGAGCAGGACCCCAGACATCTGAAAAAATGAGCTCAAGAGGTTTGGTGGAAATACTTGTAGACACAGGGTAAGGTAACTGATGACTTTTAGCACACTGACAAGAATCACAGATTGTTTCACGATCTCGCTCACCAACAAACGGGAGCTTATTCTTTCTAAGCAAATGTTCGACTAAAGAAAAAGATGCATGCCCTAATCTATCATGCCACCGTGTTGAAGAGACTTTGGTGACACCATAGGCTTGTTTATTCAATCTCCTAAGCTCCGGAATCAACGGGTAAAGCCCTCGAACGCATCTACCTCGATACAGAATTTTCTTCGTGACCTGATCCTTGATCAAAAAGAAAAACGGATGAAACTCAAGGAATATATGATTGTCAATGGCGATGCGATGAACTGAAAGGAGATTTTTTGAAGCACTAGGGACATGCAAGATTTTTCTTAGGCGAATTTTTTTGTGAGGAGTTTTAAGCACTGAATGACCAACGTGACTAATGCTCATACCTTCTCCATTCGCGGTGTGAACTTGGTCTTGCCCACGGTACTTTTCACGAACTGTCACTTTTTCAAGCTCGCTGGTGATGTGGTCAGTTGCGCCACTGTCCACATACCAGTTCGTGCCGATGCCGTAGGAGCCATCAGCAGCACCTGCAACTTTTTCATCCTGTGAGGATTCGCCGTCTTCTTCGTAGCGATACCAACAATCGCGAGCGGTGTGGCCTAACTTGCCACAAATTTGGCATCGCGGCGCGTCAGGGTTGGTGCGAGGCCTGCCACCACGGCGGCCCTTGTTGTTGTTGTTGGAGGGCCGCCCGCCGCCGCCGCCGCGGAAGGAGTTGTCACTGCTGCTGTTTCCGCCAGATGGCGGTTTGCCTTTGCCGCGCGGTGGCCCACGATAGCGTGAGCTGCCACCGCCGCGGCTGCCACCACGGGCGACAGCATTAGCAGAAGACTTGAAACCCCCGCCCGAGTTGTTGTTGTAGAGGGCGAGGCGCTGATCAAAGTTGCTCATCTGAGCGTAGAGATCGTCGATGCTGATGGTGTCGGTGCGCGCGTCGTTGGCGGAGACGAGGGGTTGGTACTCCATGTCGAGGCCGGCGGTGATGTAAGAGACAAGCTCATCGTCGTCGATTGGCTTCCCAGCGGCTGCAAGCTCATCTGCTAGCGCTCTCATCTGGGCGAAGTAGGCGGCGACAGACTGCGTTCCCTTCTGCGCCGTGGAGAGAGTGACCCGGATGTTGTTGACGCGGGCTCGGGACTGCGACGAGAACATGTGGGCAAGAGCTGCCCAGAGCTCGTGCGGCGTGGCGATGGAGGTAACCTGCACGAGAACCTCCTTGGTGAGAGTATTGAGCAAGTATCCGAGTACCTGCTGCCCTTCTCTGAACCAGATCGGATGGAGAGGGTTCATCGTCTGCTCTTCTTTCCCGTCTTTGTCCTTCGTGACGAGGATCTTGACAGGTTCTGGCATGGTGCCGTCGAGGTAGCCGAACAGCCCAGCTCCTCTCAGCTGCGGCGTCACCTGCGCACGCCATAGGACATAGTTGGTGCGGGTGAGTTTTTCTGCGACCTGCCCAAGGGAGGCTTGGCCGGTGCTGGAGGAGGAGGACGACATGGCTGCGGTGGATGGTGCTAACTAGATGCGATGGATAGAGGTAGCTCTGATACCATGTTAAACAACGGAGAACGTCGTACCTCTCTCGAGGCGACGGTTGCGTGTTAATATAGGCAGGGGCATATCCCTAATAAGCATACAAGTTGTTGAGATTACATCTTGAGGTACAAGGAAAGTAGAGATAAGATATGCATGAAAAGATTACAACTCAACTAACCTAAACCGAATCTATCTCAATCTGAACCGGTGCGTGTATGCCCCTTGAACCTGAATATTGCATGGTTTAACAAGAGTATTTTCAGTGTTGACTAGTCTTGATATTCCAAAATCTGATATTTTTGCTCTTAGTCCATCATCCAAAAGTATATTAGAAGGCTTGATATCACCATGAATGACCTGAGTATACATCTGTGAATGCATATAACCCAATGCCTCTGCACATTCTAAGGCAATTCTCACTCGTGTATCCAGTGGAACAGGAATGCTGTTACCATGAAGTAAGTCACCTAAGTTTCCTTTAGGAATGTACTCCGTGACCATCATTAGGGCATTTTCATCTAAACAGTATCCGAGCAGTCTGACAACATTCTTGTGATTGATTTCACGGTGGACAGTCAATTCTTTGGCAAAGTTATCTTTTACATTGTCGATAAACCTCTTGACTGCAACTAGGCTTTTGTCCTCAAGGACTCCTTGATAAACTTGTCCAAAGGCACCTCTTCCGAGCATAGTTTCATAGTTGTTGGTAAATCTTATTATCTCATCTTCTGTGAAACATTGCACATTGTGATTGCTATGTGCTATCCATTTTGACCTGTCATCCCTTTGGATAAGTTCCCTTACCATACTATCCGGATGATCCATCTTCTGAAACTAGTACAACAGCGTACCGTTAGATTTGGCTACAATTCTGGAGATATGTGTTGATCAAAAAGCAGTTTATAGAGCAGTAATAGTATTTGATTATTAAAACATATATTTAACAGTGTAAAGTTAATTATGCATGAGTTTGCAGATAACTTTCATGACAAAATTGAGAAATATGACGTTCTAAGGGTTAGTTTGGTGACGTTGAATTGTGATGTGTTGCTTTGCACTCAATTTATAAGTTGCATGACGTAGGCTGGGAAGATGTGATTATGAACTGTAATGCTATTTAAAAATAATCACCTGGCGCTGCCATTATTTGCTCTTCACATAGCATGGCATGGCATCATGGTTTTCAATCTCAGTTTCAGAAAAATTTCAATACCAACCAAAATCACCGAGATTCATTTTGGCCAAATGACTGAAATATTTACTTGAGTTCAATTAAACATTAAAAAAATTGAAAAATATTTGAATTCATGTGGACAACTGAAATAGTTGAAATATTTTGGCCGAAACTATGAATTATTTCAGTGTTTGTCTACTGAAATTCAGTGAATTTCATCGAAATCTCATTGAAAGTGAAAACCATGCATGAGATGCAGAGGTCAAGAATAACAAGTGGTGACGCTTCATCATCACTTGTTGCACGGGCAACTCTTAATTCCCCGCACATGTTTTGCCTTAGTTTTATCTTGTTATACTTAGGGAAATAAGGTGTCTCCCCTTTTTGTGTGTGTGTGAAGAGATGTGTGAAAGCAGCCTTTCTTTCTAGACTCAAATGACGATGCACAGATGGTCTAAATATCTTTTTCGCGGCGGAACCAGGAAGCTGCATTATTGAAAGAAACAGGAGGACGTTGATTTTTGCTTGGTTGTTCTAGTTTTCTTTCTGCAAGCCCTTTTGGTAGGTTGGCTTGGGAAAGAGAGTTGCATCGGACCCCTACTCTTACAGTTAAACTAGACTAGAGAAGCTTAATAATTCATCAAGGAGAATGCGGGAGCCAAGATGGATCACTGATCTGCACTTTCCACGAACCACTGGCGCCGCGTGCTTCTATTTTTTTAAGAGAAAAAGAAGAAGAGGGATCCATTGACCATTGCATTAATCTGAATCAATGTTTTAAATAGCGAGCTATGGGAAATAGCGGCGGGCCTCCAAATCAGCTATAGCGGGCTATTTATGAAGACGACCATTTAGCGATACCATGCTGCTGAAAAGGCTATAGCCCCGGCTATTTAAAACTATGATCTGAATGAAAGAAAGCACAAGCGTACACCCAGCGTTCACTAACAGGGTCTTGAGTCTAGAGAGAAAACAACTGTAGTAAGAAGAAGAAGAAGAAGAAGAAGAAGAAGAAGAAGCTGGATCTTTTGAAAAGAGAAGAAGAAGCTGTCTGGTTCGCAACTGGCTCCAGGGAGACGGCACGGGCGCTCGCCGTTTCCTCGACTCCCACACGGCGGCGCCCGTGCCAGCACAGCAGAGCGGATCCGAAGGCTCGCTCAGATCCTTCCTCCAGCTCCAGCAGGGCGCCGTTCGCAGCCACCCACCGTTGCCGCATCGTGACTTGTCACCGCCGACTTGAAGGCAGGAAGTGGGATTGGGATGGGAGGACGGCCGCGGACAGCGGAGCAATGCCGGAGACCAAAGGGAAGGGTGGGGAGACGACCTCTAGTCCACGCGCTACGCGACGAGACCTCCTGGTGTTCACGCGTTTCGTGAATGGGCCTGGGCCAAGAATGAGCACCTCTCTTCGGGCGCCTCTATACGTGTCTCGCTGAAACGCCAGCCTTGTTTTCTGTTTTCTTTTTTCGTTTTCCTTTTTTTTTCAATTTTGTTTAGACGTCCAAATATTCTAAATAAATATATTACAAAAATCACTCTTCATAAAAACATTTAGAAAAATGTTGACCAAGCATTAAGAAAATTCATATATTTACAAAAAAGTTCAAACTATGGAAAAGGAAGTTGAAGAAATCCGAAAAATAGATTTTAAAAACGAGTCACAAATTTGAAAAAAGATTATCGATTTTGGAAAAAAGTTCAAGAATATGAAAAACATTCACGGATTTTGGAAAAGTTCCTGATTTTTATAAAATATCAATGCAAGAGGTTCCTGTGTTTCAATTTTGTTTCAAGAATTTGCAAGCAATGTTCGCAAAATTCAAAAATATTCCAGTTAAATGAACCAATCCTCTTGAACTCTAAACAATGCTTGCAAAATCAAGAAAATATATTTTGAATTAAAAAATTGTTTGCGAAATCAAAAAATATCTGTGAATTTGAAAATGAGAAGATGGTTAAGCCACTAGCAGAGAGAGACCATTTCACATTACAGGAAGCTATCCGTAATGGTAATAGCAATCATACACTGGCTAGCTGTAGTTGTTTTTTTTTTTGGAGAAAGCTATTT